AGAGAAAAATAAAGCTGGGATGAGTAAGATGATTGGATGTCTCTTCCTTTCCCTAGGGGCAGGGAAGCCGCTGGGTGTAAGGGCAGAGGGGAGAGCAGAGCTCTGGGGTACGGGCGCCTCTGCCAGGAGGCTGCTGGTCCCTCAGAAATCCCTTTTGCTGGGCTGGTTGCCCGTGGGTGTGCTCAGGTGCCCCTGAGAGATGGGCTCGCTCCTTGGGGTGACACGAGTGCCTCCGAGCCCCAAGGGACCCGGCGGCGGCGTTTGGAGCAGGATTTGGTCTCGTGTTTTGCACTGTGCTTGCAGAGGTGCTGCTTGGGTCCGCGGGGTGCTGCGACTTCAGTCTTGGCACCTTCGTGAGAGTGTAGGTGCTCTTGGGGAGGGGGTGAGCCTGGCCCAGGGCGGGTGCTGGGGCTTGCAGGGCTCTGCGCACATCTCCGCTCCGTGGGGAATGCTGACTGGGACCACTGGTGGAGTGGGAACCGGACTGGGAAGCCAAGCAAGTCCCCCCCAGCACAAGAGAGCGTGGCAGCGCGCGTCTCTCTGTGCACCCCGTCGGGGCAGTGCTCTTTTCCAGGAGCTCAGCTGCGGGCAAAGCTGTGTTTGGAGAGCCGGTGGGGCCCTCTCTGGATCTTTGCACCGAGGAATCTTACACTTCTTGCTTTGGGGAGGGAGAAGAGGCGGGGGGAGATGTGGGTTTGTGGGGCAAGGCTGCGCTTTTTGTTTTAGAACCTGCCCTAAGGACCCGCCACTGCAGCTGACGTGGGGTTTGTTATCAGTAACAATATTAATGAAAGCGTTGTGTTTCTCCCCTCTCCTGGCTCTGGGAGCATCCCCGCAGGAATGAGGAGCCGTGCCTGTGGCTGCTGCAGCTTCCTCCCTCGAGTTCAGGTTTGGAGAGTGGCAGCCCTCCCTGCCAGGTCTCGCCGTGCCGGCACTCGGGGCCAGCCCCACGGGCGCTCGAGTTCCGCTGGGGAGAGGGAGCTCGGTGGGAGCGAGGGAGAGGGCTCCCAGTCAGTGTGCAAGCGCCATTGTTTTGACACAGAGGCATATGGCGCCGTCAGAAACAGCAAAAAGAAACCCCGCAGCAGATGCTGCCAAGGCAGAAAGCTGGCAGCAAACAGCCAGGCCTGCAAAATGCCGGCTTCCGTGCGGCACGATCGTGCCGGGGCCAGCTCTGCCCGCGCCGCTGCACCTCGGGGCTGACCGAAGGTGAAGTGTGACCGTGGCCGAGGCCCTTGGACCGGGCGTGGGGTTGGGAGAGATCGCCGGTGCCGGCGGGAAGCGGCGCTGGGGTGTCCCAAACCCCACGGGCAGGCCCTGGCTGGGGGCACGCCGCCGCTGCAGCGCAGGCACGGGCGGCTTTGGGGAGCTGATGGCTCTTCTTGCTGCTCCTGTTCTCCTCCAGCCTGTCCCAAGCCCCTGATTTGCGCCACGGATCCATTAATCTCTCTGCTTCATACCACCGTTTCGCACAACCGCTTGGCCCGTGCTCCATGCCAGGGCTGGCTGCAGGTTTGGGGGGAGAGACAGGAAGATACACGGAGCTCTAGGCTCTGCGTCGCTGAGGAGAACGGGATAAAGTACTCCTGCAGCTTGTTTTTGTGTTTGCTCACGTTCACCGAGCCGTGCAGCAGCCCCTGTGGTGCGTCAGTGACCGGAGCGGGTGCTGGTGTGGTCAGACCGACGTGGCCCTGGCTTGGCACCGCCACCTCCTGCGTGAGTGGTACTTCCCCTGGCTCTTCAGAAATGTGTTTCTAAGGTCAAGTTCTTCCAATCTGACCCTCTTGCAGCTTCGCTCCGGGCTGGTTTGAGCACTACCTGCAGCATTCTGCCTCCGGGTGCCCTGGAGTAGCGGGGACGGGTGCAGGGGTAGGCGCTTTCTGCCCGGTTGCAGCAGAGGTGGAGCTGAGGCACCAGGTCAGCCCTTTCCTCGACACAAACAGGCTGAATCTGCTTCCATCTGATGCAAGGACGGTGGCATTTACTGTGGGGGGGCCATAACTGCGCGTCTCCCCTTTTCTAGCCAGGTCTTACCTAGCTGTAGCACGAGCTGTTAGGTGGGGAGGGTTTCTCCTTTGACCACTTCCAAAAACTGGGTATTTCAGGGGTCTGCGACTGCAAAGGACTTGACTTGATGGCAGCTGTAGTCCCTTCTGGTCCTTCAGCATGAGGAGTGCAGGACTGCTGCTGGCTCCCCATGGCCGGGGCCGGGCACCCCAAAACTCACCCATCAGGTGCAGCACCACGGCGGGGGAGGCACCCACCCTTCTGTGTCTTTCCTTCTGTGCATTAGCAGGAGAAACGCTGCCTTGGATGAATTTACATATGACTTGGCAAAATGTACGTTTGTGTCATTTCTGCAAGAGCAGCAGCCGGCTCTGCTGCTTACACGTTGTGGCGGTAATAGAGGTGCTTGAGTTATAGTGAAACTTATTTCATTTTACAGCTCCTACAGCGTTAACAGATGTACAGGCGTCTGATCCAATCATGCAGCGAGAGATTTTCGGGCCAGTTCTTCCAGTTTTGACAGTGCGTAAGCTAGGAGCAGCCATACATTTTACAAACAAGAATAAACGACCCTTAGCAACATATGTCTGCGCTGGCAGCTCCAACGTAATCATAAATAAGGAACCCTGCTAGGCAGGAATGTATCTGGGCTCTGCATACGGTCAGTACGGACAAAGCATCTGCCTCCCCGTTATATTAATGAGGTGCAGGCACGGGAATCCCTATGCTGTACGGCTGCATTTGCTGGGTGGGGACAAAGGACTTGGAAAAAACAATGCTAACCCAGAGCGACGGAGCTTTATTTGTTTTAAAGCCCGTATTTCATTTTAGTGACACCACTCCTGCCAGGCTCTCGCGCGTTACTGCGCGCTGCTCCACGATCGTGCTCGGCCACGCTGGAACTTCTTTGCTTAATTCCGTGCACAAGGTCCCTGCTCCCAGCCCAAGTCCCCCCGCCGCTGGCCTTTGCTCCCAGCCCAGTGCAGTGGGGGCCCGAGGGCTGAGCCTTGCTGCAGCTTAATGGCCCCCCCAGGTACCTCGGGGACAATATTCAGGACAGAAAGGTCCCTTTTACAGAGGCGAGGGCTGTAGGACGAGGTGGTGAAGCAGAGGTGGCCGCTGCGTGCCGTGACCACTCACAGGGCTACATGTGGGCCCTGCAGAGCTGAGCTTTGCTGAGCTGAGCTGCAGCAGCCTGCGGGGCTGCAGCCACGCTCAGCCCGACCTCAACTCGCTCCTAAAGTCGTGCCCTGGCCCGCTGGCTCTGCTTGACCAACACCACAGGGTCACCCCCAGCACCCGCCTCAGCCCTGCAGAAGCAATTCCCCAGGCAGCTTTGGGTAGAAAGGCAGAGAGGGGAGCTGGAAGCTGAGTGCACCCTAATAAATTTAATCATGTTAAAGTCGAGTAGCTAAATTTATTTCTCCTTGCAATCAAAACAACGCTAGCTTTGGTCCCAAAACAGGAGTGAGATTTCTTCCCCCCAGATGGAAAAAAAGAAAATACTATAAATCCATCCCCAAGCTGATTTATATAGCATTCATGAAGAATTTATATTGCAAAGAATTTTATTCAATTAAACTTGAAAAGCCTCTAGATTCCTGAGGTTCAATAGTGATCACTGAGACAGAGCTATCATAAAACTGGATGGCCTGTCTGGAGCAGGCATTGAGAAAATGTCTGATGTGACATTGCAGCTGACGGTACAGTCCAAATCAAGAGCATTTGTCATTGGGATGTGTTACAGGCTAAGGCTCGGAAAATTACCCTGTGAAAAATGTGCATTAACAATAGCCATGAAATATCATTTAAAAAAAAAAAAAAAAGGGTGAGTAATGAGACAGCGGTATCTATTAGCACTGGGCATTCTTCACTCTGACCCCACTCTGATTAAAAAGTTAACACAAAAGCCAGAGATTCTTTTGGGAAGGAAGTTTAAGGTTGTTTCTACTTCAATAATTGAACAGAGGGAGCTGCATGACTGACTGAGAAGCTACAAGTGGCGGCACCCTTAGTGCAGGACAAGCACCCTTGATGGGTGACCACCTCCCTGCCCGCAGGTTTCCGTGCCGCTACTCCATACGAGGAGGGGAAGAACTAAACCACCACATCTGATGCGTGTTCTTCCCAACTGTATTTCCAAGCTGTGCGTGCCTTGGACTTAACTGCAAAGCAGTAATTGCCTGTATTGCCTACACAAGGTGGGTAGCGAGGTGTTAACTCATCCAGCTGGCTGTCAGTTACACACTGGGTGTGGTTCGGGGCAGTTTTCAGTCCGTGGGGATGCTGGATGAGGACCTCTTCTCCCTTGAAGTTCTCCGATCTGCTGCGGTGATGTTTGCAGCCAGGTCTCCAAGCTCTGGGACAGGCTCCAGTCCGCTCTGCCGAGGGCTCCGCGTCAGTGACGCTCCCGAGGTCAAGGCACACGCTAACCCACGTGAGACACGAACCCCTTCAGCTCTCAGCCTCTCTCTTCCAACTCTGGCTGGCAGCTACAGCAGCACCTGGCCCCTGCTACTCATCACAACCCCTTTTATCTGCAAATTTAGTGACTTGAGTGGTCCCCAGTAGATTTTCAAACTGAACAGGGCTCTTCTCCTTCAGCTGGTACCTGCAGCCAGAGGGGGATGCTGTGACCAAACTCAGCAGGGCCCCCTTCAAAGTGGCAGCTCTGCGCAGTTAACCCCAGCTACCAAAACTGAGCTTTGAATCGTAGAATCCTCTTGCCCACTCATGACCTGCAGGATTTGGCCCTTCCTCCTCACACCCCTCTGTCCTGCTTGAGCCCCGCTCCTGGCAGAGGACGCCCTGGCTTGTCAGCACGGAGACATTCTTCACATGCATAAAGAGAGGCAGCCTGAGCCAAAGAATTTTGTGCATTCCTGTAAATCTACACAGCTCAGCTTCAGCCAGGGCTGATGGATTGAAAGCAACTTAAAAAAGAAAAGCACGCTGTGCTCAGTATTAAAGTATGACAGTTAAGGGCCCTTTGGTACAAGTAAATCACGTTTATTATTTCAAAGCTTGTGGACAGAGTTCCTGAATCTCCACACAGTTGCTGTTCTGTACGAGCATGATGACTTACAAAGAGAAGCTGATTGTTTTCTCTTCTTCATTCCTCAGAGCCCTGTCAAAGCCTTTCCACAGCACCTGCCACTGCCCAGGGAAATGAAGACATCTCTAGAAATCAGCTGCAGTTCTTTGAAGTCTCCTGCCTCAACTCCAACCCAGGGCAAACAGCACCTCTGATGCCATCACCGCAGTGTTCAACAAAGGGTATTTGGACAAGGCTCAGCGAACAGAACAGCTGTGTTCCTCATGGTATTTATGAACATGGTTCTAGTTAGTTAAGCTGGAAGTTCTTGGCAGCTCACGTTTCCAATCCAGGCTTGTTCTCTTTCCTTGATGAGGGAAAACAGTCTGCTGGGTTTAGTTTCCCATGATCAAGGAGACAAACATTACAGCTCCCAGTTATGGTTCGGGCTTGATATATACTTTCTCTTCCTTCCCTTCCTTCATTGCAGCGTAACGTGCCAAAACGAAGAGGTAGTCGCTCAGTCTGGAAACCAAAGGAGAAGCAGTGAGAGCACTTTCTCAGATCAGGTGTGTTTGTACCCGGCAGCGCGCAGCTACACAGCAAAGCGTGTCTGGTTACGGCATGAGGACCGCAGGCAAAGGAAGGCAAAGAGACCACACGAGAAGTGCGTTCCAAAATGGTGTTCAATAAAAAAGCTGACTGCTCCCTCAGCACGGCAGCAGTGTCTGCAAACATACAGGCCTTGCAAAAAGACTTTTTAACAAGCTGCTTGTTGAAACTTCAAAGATCTTATTCTAGAAGGGAAGCTTCTCGAGAGGTAAAACCCCGCAGTTTTATCCCAAGACTAAGGGAACAATACCAGGCACACGTCAGTAGTACAGAGTAAGGGTTTGGGATTTCATCTTTTTTTTACCTGTTTAAGTATTTGGCCACGTTTGGATCTGCTTCCCCTGCTTGTACCAAAGGAACCACGCTAGAAAAAGAAAAGGAAAATTTTAGTGTATTTAACTTTCTATTTCTGAATGCGCAAAGGACTGTGATTTGCTGGAGCACCAACCTTGACAACCCGACCTCACCCAAGTCCTCTTTCTAACCCCCCACAGTGTGAACACTGTTCACCTCCCCAAGAGGAATCTGTGACGGCTGAATGATGCAACTAATTTTTGTAACTGTTCTGGAGGACTGCAGCTCTACTCCAGAGGATGCTCCTGGGTGGGTATCATTGAACAATGGGAGCAGTTTGCAGAATCGTTATCCTTTACTGCAGGTAAACAGGGACCCTTCTTTTGTTGAGGGAACAGAGCTGTTCCTTGTCTCCTGACTGGGGTACAGTCCTCTTTCTAGCTTTCTTTTGACAAGAAACCACCGACTGTGATGATAGTTTTTGAAGATCACACTGCTCCAGTTTATCTTGTCAGAGTAGCAATCCTCGTAGCGGATCACATCCACAAAAACATCTTCCTGCACATTAGTGGCTTCAGTAAAGAACCCCCAGCAACTTGGAACTGCTGATGAGCAGGTTCAGGCTAACACAGTGATTTACATAATGAGCAAACAAGAGTTTTCTTCTGCGGACCTTATCAGGGGAGTTTCCATCTCCAGGAGAGAAGTGGGACATGGTAGGTGCGGGCAGCAACATTTTCAGCTGCTAAAAACCTCCCTGGATCTCACCCCTGCCAGCGCCCCGGCTGCCTTGTGTGCTAGCCTACAAAATACATTTAGCAAACCAGGTACGAGCTGAACACGTAGATGCATCTCAACATAAACCTGTCTGTTCTTTCTGAAGTTCTTAGCTCAGATGACCCAGTTCAGGGGAGGGAAGAGAGATTTGCTTTTTGCTGACTGCGCTCCTGGAATTTGACTAATACAAACATACAAAGCTTGACTCAAGCTCTAGCCAGGTGCAATACAGCCATGGTTGATTGCTCCGACCACAAGGATTTGCTACCATTATAGCATTCTGATCACCTTTTTCTCAATGTTCTGTTGTTACACTACAGCCAACACTCACCACCTTTCAGCTCTGCGGCAGACAGCTCGGGAAAAATGGAGAGCAGCACTGCTTTTACCTCCTGACTGAAACAACAATGAAACAGCACATCAACGTCTGCTAACAGCAGATACAGCCATCCACCTTATTGTGTAAGTGCAGCAAAGCTTATCACATCTCACGCACACGTGCAACTGAACCCTGTGTTATGGCCAGGCAAAGGGAAAGAGATATCTGAATGCAGTAGGATGTGGAAATTTAACTCAATCAGGTCCTCTCTGCTTTTCTTTTGGTATTTGGCCGTGCAAATAATGGCCTCACAACCTGTTTCCCCACGGCGAGTGGTAGAGCAGATTCACCCTAACCAAGTGAGCCTCCTCCAGTCAGTGAGCAGCATAAGCAGTACCTACGGGCAGGATGAAAGCTCTGAGAGGTGGAAGCTGCTCTGAGTAACTGTCAATCCACTGCTCCAGCTCCAGAACCGGCTTCTCGCTAAAAGATGTTCGCTCTAGGGAGGGAAGAGAAGAATCAGCTAAAAGAAATGCAGAAGTGATTCGGTCTACAGATAGAGCTCTACTTTCATATTTCTTGGATCAGCAAGTCCTAAGAAAGCATCCCCCCAAAACCAATCCTGCTGCCAGAGCAGGGCTGGCTCCCCATTCAGCAGCTGTGGCTGGGTGTGGGTGCCGGGGCAGCGACCTGGCATCGCTCGAGTCACACAAACCCAGCGCAGGACTTCGGTGAGCACCCAGACACACAGTGTGGAACAGCCCCAGGGCAGCTCTACTGCATACGGGAACGGCCTCCCCAGCCCCAGTCTAGAAGGACAGCTGGGATTCAAGAACCACTAATCCAGGGAAGGTAATGGGCAGCTTACTTAGGTGAGCCTCCCTGGCTGAGGAGAGAGGCGTCGCGATGTTGGAGCCCACATCCTGCAGCATACACTGGACCTAGATGTGGCAATCAGGACAAAAATAAGAAGCGCTTTCATTCACCAGCCTTTGATGCTCCTGTACAACTGCAGCAAGCTCTGGGAGGCGACAGCTGGTTGTGCTGATTAAAGAGGATCCTACCCTTGTTCATCATCCCCCAGTCTGCTGGCAGGGGGGATCAGATAAGTGCTCCCTAATTGCTTTATGAGAAGCCAGATTAGCACGTGTACTTGTTTTCACTGGCACATTAAACCACCCTGGCTGACTTTGCAGAAAGCAGCCTGGGGAGTGCTCACATAATCCCTTTGCTGGTAGGACACGGAACCAGTAACCTCTGGAAGAAAGGCAGCAACGAGCAGCTGCAGACAGCGCTGGCTCCATGTCACATCCACTTCCATCCATGTCACATCCACTTCCAAGAGGGGCATCTCTCCACAGCCCAGGACACTTGAGAAGCTTGGGGAATCTTTTTAAAACCTCTGCTTAGCTCCTTCTTGTGCACTGTGAAGCTAATTAGCAAAATTCACAGGCTGCCAGCGCAGGACCTGTCTCCCACCATCGTGCCCACGTGGTTACTTTGCCCCGATTTCAAATCTGAGGCTCTGTGACAACACGACTCATGTCCCTAACTGTGTACAGTAACAGGTTGTCAAACCACGACACAGGTCTGAATAAATCTAGAGATATGTTTGTCTGCCATAACTAATCAGTTGATCTACCAGCTTCCTCCTTCGTTAAAGAAATGTATCTCTTAGAGAGTAATCAAGGGTCAGAGTCTTAAGTAGCTATTTAGTACTGTATTTTTTAAATTCCTGTGTGTCAGTGGGAGCACTGTGTCTAAAATTAAAGAGTTTAAGAATGCGTTTCAGTAGCAGAGGTGAAGTGACTGCACTGGGTGAGGTTTGTTATTAATACTCACTTTGTGAAGCTGTTCAACAAACGTGTGGCCCTTTTCCCTGCTGAATTCGCCAGCAAGCCTAGGTTAAAAAAAATAAAAATAAAAAAAAACAGAGTTAGCTGGAAATTTAAAAATTACCATATGAAAACCACTGAATTTGGACAGTCCTGGCTGTTTGTCTGTGCAACACTCCGGAGAAATTTGGTCCGCAGCGTATCCCCTCCCCCCCGGCTAGGCGGCAGGGCTGGGAGAGCCGCTTTTAAGGGAGGGGGATGCCCAGGAGCCCCCCCCAGAAGGGGGCTGGGCCGGGGGCATCAGGCCTTTGTGCACGGGGAGGGCTCAGGGAGGGCCGGAGCTGCGTGGGCGGGCGGGCAGCTCCCCCCGAGAGCGCGGCCACCCTCGGCCCGGGCCCGGGGTTACCCGATGGCCGAGCTCAGTTCGTCCGTGGCTCCCAGGGCGTGGAAGATCCGGTCGCCCTTCGGCCTCCGCTCCCCGGTGAAGGTGCTGGAGAAGCCTGGGGAGGAGAGCGGGGGTCGGGCCGGGCTCTGCCCCTCACACACACCCCACACAACTCCCCTCCCCGGGCACTACCTGCATCCCCCGTCTTCGTGTAGATCCTCGGGGCCCGGTCGCTGCTGCAGCGGCGGCCGTCGCCGGCGGGGCTGCGGAGGCACAAAGGGCCGTGAGAAGCGGCGCCAGGCTTTGCCCTACCCCCCCTCCCCCGGCTCGCCCCCGCGCTCACCCGCCCGCCCCGCGCCGCAGCGCCGTCACCATCATCATCCTCATCATCCTCGCCCCCCCCGGCCACCGTAGCCGCCGCCCTGACCCTCCGCGGCCGCCGTCCCACCCGCCCGCCCGCGCGCGCTCACCCCACCCCCGCGCCACCGCCTTCCGATTGGCTTTCCCCACGCCCCGCCTCCCCGCCCTCCGCGGTTATTGGCTCTGGGGAGAGGGGGAGCGCGGCTCCCATTGGTGGGCGGGGCTGTCGCTCCGCGCGGTGGCGGTGGCGGCTGAGGCGGCTCCTGAGGGGTCGCATCCTGCGGCGGGCGATGTGGGAGCGGAGCCTGGTGCTATCCGCCCCGGGGAAGGTGATCCTCCACGGGGAGCACGCCGTGGTGCACGGCAAGGTAAGGAGTTCTGCCACCGCTCCCGGCGCTCCGGCCCGGCTCCCTTCTCCCCTCACACCGCTTCTCCCTCCTCCTCAGGTGGCCTTGGCCGTGGCGCTGGACCTGAGGACCTTCCTCCGCCTGAGGCCCAACGGCGAGGGCAGGGTGTGCGTCCGCCTGCCCGGCGTCGGCGTCGTGAGGAGCTGGGACCCCTCCCGCCTCCAGGCCCTGCGGAGGGGGTTCGCAGGCAAGGGCTGGCAGGAGGCAGCCGCTCCCCACCCACCTCCCAGCGTTGTTGTGGGGTTCTCGGTCTTGCCCAGTGCCTTCTGCCCTGTGTCAGCGCTGGGCCACCCCCGCCTTGGGGTTATTTCTTTCCCTCGCTGCTGGGCCTTGCTCTGACTGCCCTCAGTGTGTGTTTAACTAACGCGTCCTTGTGCACTCCTAGCTCAGGCACCCGCCCTCCCTCTCTGTGCCTCCTGTGACCTGCCTGATGCTCCGATATCTGAGTGGCCCTTGGAACGGCTGTCCCCTCCTGTTTCAGGTTCCCAGGGGCTTGTTCAAGGGCTGCTGTAGCTCAGGCAGTGTTGTAATACATACAGGAGCCAGCCAGGGACCACATCCAGGTGTGTTGCTGATGAGGGGGCCAAAAAGGGGTCTCTCTGAAGCTGAACTGAGGCCTCTTGGGGAAGATGGGGATCCAAGCACTGTTTTCCTGTCTCTTCCCCATGCCAACCCTCACTGGAATTCCTGCAGCATCTTGTACTGGCTGGAGTCAGACTGGTGGTTTTGACACATCCCTCTGGAGGACCTGACATTAACTCCTGTGAGCCTCGTGAGCACCCTTTGCTTAGCAGAAGGCAGAAAAAGTCTGCTGAGTCAGAGCAGTGGTAACCTCTCTCAGCGCTGCCCAAGTCTCTCACCCTTACGCCTCTTCCTGGCTGTTTGGAGTCCAGACCCCCGTGAAGTGAATCAGAATATCCACATTCTTAAATAAAGAGTGTGTGACTTGCCAAGTTCTACACAGTGATGGGTGGGCGTATGGGAAGTGTAGGCAAGGAGACAGTTGCTGTAATACAGTGTAAGTGGGGGGTGTGGAAACACTGGGTTTTCAGAGTGGCTGGTGGAGATTTTGCATTTATTTTCTCATGAGTCCTCAGGTAGAAAGTTTGTCAGTGGAATCTGAAATTGGCTCAGTCCATTTCTGCCTACTGTAACAGGAACTGTTGTTCTTGTGAATGCTACTTTAAAGTTTAATGGTTCCCTGGTTTCTAAGTGTTTAAATTCTCCCCTGCTTGCTTCCATAGCTGACTTTGATGAATCTAAGTCCCCCAGCGTAGAACAGCTGGATACACTGAAAGAGTTTGCTGGAATCACTGCCGGAGCCTCAGCTCCCGAGAGCCTTGCTACTCTTGCCTTTCTTTATATGTGCCTGGCTATTTCGGCTAAGTATGGGTAAGGCCATCTTCCTGCCCTGAAACAAACATCCTGTCTTGAGTGTTGTTCACCATTAATTGTTTTTACAAGGTCACAGGAGTAAAAATAAATCTTTGAGGCAAAATAAGAAATGACAAGGACTCTCACTCCCTTCATTTAGGTTCTGAGCACCTCGAGAGACACTCCTCAGAGCTGAGCTGTGTGGATGGGTGGGCTGGGAATCTTCTGTTCTCGTTTAGGCCTCTAGCTTTGAGGTGCTTAAGTCAGAGCAGTTCATCCCACCCTTCCGCACAGCCAGTAGAAGCAGAGACAGACATCCCTCCCTCCAGCAGACAGCTTATTGGATCCTGGCTTGGGTTAGGAAAAGCTGCTATAGAAACGCGCTGTGAATTCATTGTCTGAGCTAAGTCTGATCCCTCTTGTGGGCTGAATCTCCCTAAAAACATGAGAACTTGGGGTAACTGCAGCTCAGGTCTGTTCCAGTTTTTCAGCTTGACCAACACCACTGATAATATCAGTGTAAGTAACTGGGCAGGTGCTCAGGGTACTGTCTGATAGAGCACTGCTTGCTAGTTTAAACCAAGTCAGAACCTGACTTCTATATTCATAGCAAAGGAATAAAGGTTAAAGGATTATGATGTCTACCTGCATCGTATTTTGCTTTGCAGTCTCTGAGTTGCTTGGTGATAGCACTGGGGCTGTCATCAGCCTGCTCTGAAACCATCAGTTCATAGTTTTTGTCACTCACCAGCCCGTGAAAAGCTTCTGCATTTGATGTTGGGGTCTGTAACACAACCCAGACACGTTCAGTGGAGAAAAGGGGCACATGGGCACGGATATGTGCTTGTCGCTCCAGGGGGCTATAACTGCACAGTTATGGATTTGGGATGTTTACGCTTTATTAAGGAATACATTTAAAATTGTGTTTACAAAAATCTTTGAAGGGTCTCTTTATGGTGCTACTCAAGTATTTAGTTACCAAGTGCCCCTGCTAGCAGCTTGACAAGCTGTGCTAATCATAGATCCAATTCAGCAAGGCTTTGTTCTAGTACAATGGCTTAGCAAGGCTACTCAGCTGTGCTAACAGAGCACTCATGGAGCCCATGTGTCTCGGGTGCGTGTGCATGTGCTGATGTTGCCAGTTTTCAACCAGCTCTTCCTGTGATTGGCCCTAATTGGCATCTTTTGCCTTTGAAATGTTGTCTCAAGATGGAATTCAGGGTCATTGTGTTACATCCTGTGTGTTTGTGTTTCAGAGATGTTCCGAGTGTGGACATACTGGTGTGGTCTGAGCTGCCCACAGGAGCTGGGCTGGGTTCAAGTGCTGCTTACGCTGTCTGCTTGGCGGCAGCCCTGCTGACGGTGTGCGGAGCCATCTCGTGCCCTCTGAAGGAGGGAGAGTCCTCAGCCAGGTAATGCAGCATCGTGGTGGGGAAGCCTCCCTGCTTTGGATGCACGGCCCGGGGCATCTCTGCTCTCTGTGCCCCTGTCTTTCCTTTTACCCGCACAAATTCTGGCACTGGCACCTCTCTTGGTCTCTGGCTGACTCCTGGTCTGTGGCTGCCCTGTGTTCCCAGCAGCAGATGTGCCCCATCCCAAGGCTCTGACCTGTGAATCCCGTGTTTACAATTCACTTTTGATAAAAGCAACTGGGTGCAGAGACTTCATAAAACTTGCACCATTTCCCTTGTCTAGTGCAAAATATATGTGCTTTTTAAAAAAAAGGCAGCTTTATTTTGCCAGGCAAATAAAACACGCTTTAATGTGGTGAATTTTTTCTTAACCTCTATTTCCTCTCTATCCCTGAGCATCTTCCAGGTTTTGCTTCGAGTCCTCAAGGAGTCAAGGATCCTTTCTGTTTTTTCTGCGTTTTCACATGAATTTTTTTCTGCAGGTGGTACATTTCCTCCTGATCTGCTTGAGTTTCCCCTTTTATCAGCAGCTGGTGAAAGGAAGTTTCTTTCCTTCTGCCCTTGGGTTGCTTTCCTTTGGAGTTAAGTCTTGAAAAACTGGTCTGCTCTGCTGTGTGTCTGAGGAGGCTCTGTTTAAAGATGCATATCACAGCTGGAGTGGCAAAACCCTCTATTGTGCGCTCGATGCCAGGTGCAACCTTTTATGGTTGGCTTCTGTGGATTTTTTGTGGGACTGAAAGTGAGACAGCAAGAGGGGGGGTGACTGTGTTCTGCTTCAAAAACAGAGTTTGCAGCCTGACCCAGAAACACGTTCCTAGAGCCGAGCAATTTGTACGCTGTGCTCAGGCAAATCGCCCAAATAGTCACACGGCACGAGAAATTAAAGGCCCGTTCCAAACCAGACAGTGAGGATGTCTTCATTCCCTGCTTGCACTTCTTAGCTTCAGCTTGAATACAGCATAGTTTTGGTTTTTTTTTCTTCCAGCTGGCATGCAGAGGGGTAAGTGAGAGATGGGGGTGTCAGACTTCAGAAGGTTTTTGCTTAACGTCGCAAGAAAAGAACAGCGTGATATAATGACTCCTGTGTAGAGAAGAATCACAGCCTCTCAAAGAGGATTAAAAACAAGTGGTTTACAGCAAACTGCGCTTCTATTTTGAGTAGCGGTGATGTGAGCGGTTTTTCTGAATGCTTTACAGATTAAATATTGGCAAGTGAAATGAAAGGTGTGGAGAGATGGATAAAGACATTCAGCTGAGGCCCAGGGAAGTGGGGAGTTAAAGGAAGCAGCTTCCAGATAGCAGGTGGCTCTCAGAAATTCTGCCTTGCCTTAGCAGCAGTCAGTGACAGTTCTTGTTATTTAATGTAAGACCGTGTAATGCTTTTCTAAAAATCTGTGTTTGTGCCTCTGCTCCATCATGTAATGCCTGTTCTGGGCCCCATATTCTAAAAACCTGTCGAATGCATGTTCTCACTGCACCAAACCCCAGCTCTGAGCTCCCCAGAGCGTTGCTGGTGCTGGGATATCTGATGTGGCTGTGTGTTAGGCTGTTTGAACGGTGGCTTGGAACACGCGCTGTGTGTCTGGCCCGCAGAGCAGGCAGCGCTGCGTTGCAGGGAAGGGTCAGGGATGTGCATTTGTGTGCCTGTGCGAATCTTCAGTGTGTTACAGGAGGGTGTGGGAGGGCTGGCTGGCTCCCCGTGGGTGCTGAGCTTCCCTTGGGGTGCCAGGGTTTGAGAGAGTCCTTCGGCGTGGAGTGAGCGGGTGGGTTTGAAGTAGGCTGGTGAGTTCTGAAGGTGGTTGTGTGGGTGTGTGCCTTGCAGGCCCAGAGCAGTGGGATTTTTGAGAGGTGCTGGGGGAGACCTCACTGTGGGGGAATTGTGG